TGCTCCTCCTCGTGGAACTTCCTGTCGCGCTCCAGGCGGCGCAGCTGTTCTTCTCTTTCCTGCAGGAGCTGTTCTTCCTCTCGGAACTTTCTGTCGCGCTTCTGGCGACGCAGCTGTTCCTCCCTTTCCTGCAGGAGCTGTTCTTCCTCGCGGAACTTCCTGTCCCGCCTGTTGGCTTCCTTTTGCTCCTCTCGCTTCAGCAGTTCTTCAGCTGGGAATTGCCTGTCGCGCTGCTGCCAGGTCCTTTCTTTTTCTCGCGCTCTCTCCTCTTTCTGTTCATCCTGTAGGGGCCACCGATCCTGCTGGAATGGTCTCTCTCGAACCTGGGAATCTTCCAATTGCCGGATCTTTTCTTCATTCTCTCTGCGTTTGGAGTATACCCTGTGATTACGAACTTCATTTTCTTTTTCTGGTTGCCACTGCCATTTCAGATCACGGCGCTGATCCTCATCGTGGAATTGCCGCTTCCTGTCCAGGCGCTGCAGCTCTTCCTCCTCCAGATACTGCCTGTCGCGCTGCTCGCGCCTCCTCTCCCGCTGCAGCTGCTCTTCCTCGCGATATTGTCTCTCCTGCTCCTGGCGCCGCCTCTTCTCGCGTTCCTCTCTCTGCAGCTGCTCTTCCTCCCGCTGCAGCTGCTCTTCCTCGCGATATTGTCTCTCCGGCTCCTGGCGCCGCCTCTTCTCGCCTTCCTCCCCCTGCAGCTGCTCTCTTTCCCTCAGCTGCTCTCGTTCAGCTGGCTTGGCTGAACGAGAGTGGCGGCGTCTCTGGCTTTCCTCCTCTGGTTGCCACCTCCATTTTTGTTCGCGGCTCTTCTCTTCCTGGCGTAGCTTCCTCTCCCGATCCTCTTGGAAGCTCTCCTCCAACTGGAGCTGCTTTTCTTCACGGACCTGCTGCTCCTGCCCCCTCTCGAGTTGCTGGCGGCGCTGCAGCTCCTCCTCACGGAACAGTTCCCGCTCCTGCCGCTCCTCCGTTCTTAGCTGTCTCTCCCGCAGCTCCTGCAATGCGGGCGTGGCCGACAGCCTATGGCGGCGCCTCTCGCTCTCTTCCTCCGCCTGCCACTGCCATTTGAAGTCGCGGTGCCGCTCTTCCTCCTCCCTCTGCAAGCGTGCTTGCTCTTCCCGATGCAGCCGTCGTTCGCGCTCCTCCCGGAGGGGCCGGAACCCGCGCTGCCATTGGCGGTCCTCCTCCTGCTCCCGGAGTTGCCGCTCGCGCTCCTGGCGCCGCCTCTTCTCCACCTCCTGCTCCTGGCAGTGCCTCAGCTCCTGCCTGCGGGGCCTGGAGTAGACTTTCCTCTGACGAGCTTCTGCCTCATTTTCGAGCTGCCACTGCCACCTTGGGGTGCGGCTCTTGCGCCGATCACGGGCCTCTTCCTGTTCCACCTCCTCCTCAGCCAGCTGCTCCTCGCGCCTGAGTTGCTCTTTCCGTCTCTCCTGTTCCAAGCGGGGCTCCTCCCCCCTCAGCTGCTCGCGTCTCTCCTCCTGCTCGCGCCTCAGCCGCTGTTCGCGTCTCTCTTCCTGCTCGCGTCTCAGCTCTTGCTCCAAGCGCTGCTCCTCGCGCCTCAGCTGCTCTTTCCG